GAGGGACCGAAGGGTGCGCAGCAGCGACGATGGATACCATCAAGGAGCAGACAAAGAATGTGGCTTAAGCACATGGAATAGCACACTTGCGAAGCAAGTCACAGGTAGATTTGCCGACTGGTTGCTTCAAAAACTTGACATGTACGATCAAGCCATGTAAGGCCAGTAGGACGACCATAAACGTGGCTTCTGGAGTGCGGTACAAGCTGTGGCACCAGGTGGAACTGTACGTAGACAGCTGATGCGCACTTACATCACCCTACTTCGTCTGGGCTGGCGTATCAGCACTGAAGAACCCTTCATGAACAATCCTGGAAGTCACTTGGCTGTAGAAGTGATACTGAAGGGAACCTCCCTTCGCAGGAACCCGCAACAGCCTTCCCTCGTGACATGGTGAAGTTTTCACCCTGCTGCGGCAGAACCCTCATCATCTGGAAAGAAAATGCACACTAAAACCTCCAAGCCTCTGTACAGGCAAATGATCTCGGTCCGTCTAGGAATGGCTTGATAGGTTGCTGAAGGTTGCGCATGTACAGGTTGACGTTCGAGAACTTCAGCATAAACCGTAACCATACACCTCCCAAGGAAGTACAACGCAAAATCCGCGCTGATTGTCTACTTGGGCGCTGAAAGTCCATTGCAGAACCTGCTTCAACCCTATGTACTAGTGTTGGATGTGTACTTCTGGCCCAGCGAGAAGGACAGAGCCCTCAAAACGTTCAAGTCACAAACCATACAATGCCTCAAATGAATTCAAAACCCTGAACTCAACACATTAATCAAAGATGCCCCTGCACGTGCCATCAAACCTCACATAGTCGCCTCACACTTTTTGGGGGTATAGTCCCCCTTAAGTAGATAGAATATGGGGTATATGGGGATCTCATTTTAACATACCCAAAGCCATATTGTATCTACTTCAGGGGGACTATAGTTGGATCCCACAGCAAACCAAGGACTTGGCTCTGTCAAGGATTTCCATCCGCGGCCGACCAGGCGAAACAGAGCCAAGCCCAAAGAGCAGCAAAGAAAGATGAGGGGGTTTGCGCTTATGTGGAGGTTGATACAGAAAGGGGGGTATGTGCAGCAAATCATACTGCTGAGTTCTAGTCGGCAGCACGAACGAAACCGGCTCAAGAGGATCTGGACAAAGTTTCATACGGAGCTTCAAGGGGGTCTTGAATAGCTCAAAGAAACCCTTGACCTCAACGCTTGTGAAGGGTGTTGAACTGCTGGGTTTTCTGTGAACATGCTAATAATACGAGCACTAATAGTTGAAGTAATGAAAATACGAATAATAAGAACATGAATAGTAGTATCAGCCTGCCAACACAATTCGCGAGACCATCAACTGATGGCTTGACGCAATCAGAAGAACCTCACAAGAGGCCTTTGCTCTTGCTCTCCAAATTACTCCAATCTACACTAACTAATAGAAACTCGTATTCTTCGGAAAGGCCTGTTGGCCCTCTTGGGAAAGGCCTGTTGGCCCTCTTTGGGGGTTCCATGTTAGTATCGAAGAGTGCAGACCCTAACTTATGTGACTGTTGGTAGGGAACATCGGAATATAATTCCTGTATAATATCTTCCCTTATTCACTACTATCCACCAGTCTATGAGCTATAATACCCCTCGATAATCCCTATGACAGTCTCCTATATAATCTCCTATATAGCCCTGCTTAGGGATTTAGACTGTAGCTCACAGGGTAGTTTCCCACAATAGAGCGACCCCAACATATACCCCGTAGCACTATAAACCTTATTATAGGGACCCCCAAGAAGGTACCCCTAATTTTGGGAAACCCCATATAGGCAAAACCCAAGTTCCCAGAGCGAACCCGCCAGCCAGGTCAGGCACTAAAAGCGAAGCTCTTAGCGAGCGCTGCGCCGCCAAGTCTGAAGCCAAACGACGGTCTTGGCTTGTAGGTCAACTGAGGTGCTTTTTAAAATAACAAGAAAAAAGGAACATGAACTGGAGACTAGGGTGTGGGTTAGAGGGGTTATATAGGAAATTAAGGAATAACCAGCAATGGAAAAACGGAATATGCCGCAGGCTCTAACGTTCTACAGGAAGTCAAGGACTTGAATTCAGTTGCCGTAGCATGGATAAAGAGTAAACACCATGGTTTCCTGATTATACTGGTAGCTTGAGTCAAGTTCCTTACCAGCAGCCCAGTCAAGGTCTGCTTGTGGTTCTTGTGGACTTAGAGTTTGGGGATTGCGTTTTTTCCCTCCGGATTCCTTGTTCCTTGGAATTTCTTCCACGTGTGAACCAGCTATCAAGCTTTTTGGAACCGTGGCTCCGAAAAAACGGTTGTAAGCCCTACCTGGACCCCAAAAGTAGGTAAAACAATAGTCCCAAACCCCTAAATATAGCCCACAAGGCCATTACTCTACATACTTTTGGGGTGTAGGTCTGTAGCAACTTCACAAAACCGTGCATAGCTGAAACGCCCATGACAACTATACGCATCGTCTCTCCTGGTCTGGCCAGAATACATGCTGCTGCTCGTCAGCATGTGAAATATCTCATAACTCTCATAAAGCCTCATGCAGCTTGTGGAGAAGCACCCCCCCTTCCTCCAATGGAAGCACAGTGTCTATCAGTTCGTGTAGCACATTCTAGAACCATCCAACGTCCTAAGCCGCAACCCCACCAAAAAATGGCGTCGTCGTGCTGCGGAACTCGAGCGAGTGAGAGTGAGGGAAGGAAAAAGATAGTAGCTATCAAGAGGGAGGGAGATAGAAGTAAGGAGTAGGGAGGGGGGAGAGACAAAAGGGAGAGGGAGAGACAAAGAGAGAGAGAGAGAGAGCAAGAGCGACATGGAGTAGAGCTCGAAGTCTAGGCTAACACGCCTTCCCCCATACTCAACCCCGAATCTTCATACAGGACAGATCAAGTGTCAAGTATGGTAGGGTAGCGGGCAACTCTCCAACTACAGAGTCCTCAGAAGTAGCCCACTATAGTATATGGGGATTATCTCATTTTGTTTTGCTTGTGGTACCTGTCGTATGTAGTATTATAGTCCCACTTAAGTAGATAGAATATGGGGTATATGCAGATCTTATTAGAATATACCCAAAGCCATAATCTATCTACTCAAGGGGGACTATTAAACGAGCCCAGGATCTCGAGCTTTTTATCTCAATATGGTGGCCGGGCGGCGCTCGATCTCCAACTGCTGGAGCCGCTGATATGCCTCCTTTCAAGATATTCGGTTGTCTCACCATTGTCAGCTGTCAACGGAAAGTCGGAACTTCGAGATGTACGTACACGGGTATGCGAACAGAGCGAACATATACCTTTTGGTCTGTGCACGATTTCTGTTAAATATTTTCAGGCCTCTGAGCTTGGTCTGGAGATCCAAACCCTTTCATGCTTGATTAGGGCCTGGCGCTCACAGGCTGCAATCTAAGCCACGATTTTTGACATCCTGAAATGCAACGACCACAGGACTGCACTGGATATACGTACTCTAAAGAAGCACCCTTAAAGAGGCTAGCATTGAAGAAGCTCTTTGTGTGCAAGTTACGGGAAGCTGAGCAACTAGCTGCTAACATGCTGTCAACTTCTGCCGCGAACTTCTGCCGCGCCTCATGTGCGGAGACGCGAGCATGATATCCTGCGCGCTTGGCATTAACTTCTCCAGGGTCTGGCAGTTGGGGATTGAGAGGTTGGGTTCGTGGATGTGACCGAGGACACAGAGTTGGGACGTATCGGGGAGTCTAGGAAATTTCGTCACTGGTCTCAGAACTCTGCGGCCATCCACGTCCGCTGCGGCATCGGTCCACATGTGCTCTGGGATGCATGATGCGAAGTCTGTAGCAAGAGAGGAGCCCAGCCTCCTCCTAAGTCCGCTGCCATGCCAAGACGAAAGAAGACTAAACGAGCATGGCTAAAGCTGACTTTCACTTCAGATTTGAGCGCTTTTGCGGAGTGCCCTGTTCATCCCGAGTTGTTGGTGTCCAGTTCTCACGGCCTCCCCTAACACTGCAGAATTCCCTGAAAGCAACCAAGTACTGTGTTGGGAATGTATTTCAGCGGAGTGCTCCAACCCCCAACGAGAGCTCGAGCCATTGCCTGCGTCGCAGCACACTAATTGGAAGATCAGGACTTAGACAAGAGAAAGCTGGCTTGGGCAAAATGTGATGTGATGCCAATCCATGATGCACAGCTTCCCGAGAGCCATCCTACTAAGCACTGTAGTTTCCTGAGACCTATAATAAAAACGTGTTTTGTGATATTTCCTTCGGGCTATATTATTAATAGAAAAATAGTTCCTAAGGACAGTACAGAACAAGCGACATAGACGCCACCATGGCCAGACAGGAAGATTGTCCAGCAGTTGCAGACATCTAGCTGTTTGGATTGTTCCACGCGAGACTGAAATCTTAAAGGCTCATGTAGCCAGCTATCAACCAGTAGACTGAATGGCACTTAAAGCCTACACCCTTTACCTTTAAGACTCCCCCGGCCCCAAAAAAATTCACAACCTAGCTTTAGGGCCTCTGTGCTAAAGCAGAGACTGCGCCAACAGAAACCTGTTCTACAGTGGGTGCTCACTGTGGAGCAGATACGAGAATCAGCGCCCTGACTTATTGTGTGGATCGTTAGCACCTCGCATCAATCTTTGCATGTTCTTCCAGTGTGCTTCGCATTGCAACTTGTTATACTATACACAAATCTAGTGAGATATAACCTTGGCAATTACGTCTTCAGTAGAGGCGTCTCTTTCTTGCCTTGCAGTGGCCTTGTGCACCGCGGCTATGTCCCAGCTTCCGCAGGAACATCCGGGGCTAGGGGGCCAGGCCCCCGCCCCAAGTAAGCAGAGTGGCCATACAAAAGGGCCCCCTAAAATGGTATATGCCCCAAATGTCCGAAAAGGAACCTCTCACATCTGCAAATCCCCACAAGGGCAAGCAAGCATACATCATTGCAGAGGGTGCGCACAGGCACCAAGACAGTAAACGAATACCTTGCAACGTTTCAGAGCCTTCTCAGATCACGATCTCCACCTGCTTCGTCATGCCAAGCTTTTTCCTCGCCTCGTTGAGAATGGCATCGTCGCTTGGCGTCTTGCTGACCTGCACTGGTTGATGCAACGTGGCACTCAGAAGAATCACAAAGGTGCCATCAGGGGATTACACACGTCTGATTCAGATGAACAGGTTTGAGCATGGGGCTTAGCAAGAGGTCTATAATAGGTGTGTAGTGGTGACAGGTCACCGTGAAAGGCCCTGGCAACAGTAGCTTCGGCATTGACCGCTGAAGCTTCTTCAGCTTTCGACCTAACAACCTGACTTTAGAGGGTTTGACGCAAGCAGAAGCTCCCAATCTTGAAGTGACTTAAACACAGAACGCGCCCAGGTGACCCTCCTGCTGGATTGGTAATCGGTAACACCAAACATCATCAATCATTAGGATGATAACAGAAAGTGCGACTGCCAGCACCAGAAGTAGAAGGGTAAGGACGTACTTACTAAAACAGAACAGAAAGGATACAGGTCATCGAGAAAGCAGGATTGCACAAAGGCATACACAAGTAGGGCCAGCGAAAGGGAATTGAAGGTAGAAAAAGTGTCTCCTTTAAAAACCAGGGTGTTCCACGTGCTCCCCTGGCGGGCAACCGTTCCGCCGTAGCCACCACAACCTGCTTCTTGGATCTTGCCAGTTGGAGTGAAGTAGCGGTTGTCGTGCCTGGGATTAAGGGACAGTAGCCCATGCCAACCTTAACGCACTTAGCCATAAGGTGCTGTCTGGGGGAACAGATTTTTTCTGCGCAAGAGCAGGCTCTCTTGTCTTCGGCGCTTCAAATTGCAACCAGCATGGAAAGAAGTGTTGAATCACAATGCCCTGGTGCATCCGGTCATCCAGGCAGGTGCCGACCATCTCCCCAGTCATGACCACGTAGTTACCTTGCCGAGACACGGCGCTTGCAGGGGAGGAGGGGGGTAGGACGAGGACGAGGAGGAAAAATAGGGGGGAGAAGGGAGCAGCGAGTCGCAAAAAAACAAAGCAAAATTGCCCTTTCAACAAAACCTTGTCCTTCTTGCAATGGAGTGGAGGAATGTCTGGTTTCCTTAGCGTTCTGGAACCTGTACAAAGCTTCGGCTGAGCCGCTACGGTAACCTGGAAAGTGAGCCATAGTGTTCTTGCCAGAGGCTAATGCGGTCCACATTGCATTTCTATAGCTGCAGATGGGGAGCAAATATCTTTCCCTGTTGTCTACCTCCTGGACCCATACACTGGGTTCAACACTGGGTTGTGCACCATGCCTGCAGAAGCGCCCCGTCCTGGTATCAAAGTGGCATGATAGCAACTCGTTGTAATTTAACGTCTTCTTTTCGCCCCTGTTTAATTCCTTCTCTACCATCCCCGAAACCCGAGCACCAACCACACCGCATTAGGGCGGGGTGCATTTGCCATGGCGCCACTATGGATACCAACAGGCCCAGGTCCATGCCCAGCTTAGTCCTCGTTCAACACTTTCACGGCAATGGGCACCCTGAGCCCCTGAAAAGCCGAGAAGCCATAGAAATAATCCTCGTGGCCTGCGATGGTCTCGCATACACCCAGGGCTTGATGGACCTTTGCTTCGCGTCACTTGGGAATGGTGCCCTGCTCAGATCTTGCAAAGTAGGTAAATTAATCTGGGGCTTCTCTCCTCAGATTTGGTGTTCTACTACCACCAGGCCCAGGGTGTGAGGTACAGTTCCAGTTTCATATCGTGAGGGTTCCAAGCAGACTACTATGTGCAACGGCACCCCTACCCGTACATCGCCCATCAATTATATTGCCTCAAAACTTACGGATTGTGGCATTCAAAACCTTGTACCGAGGTGCGCTACTCCAAGCGTACACCCAGGCCGTTATGGGAGCCCTCCGAAGCCCGGCCCTTGGCTAAGGCCCTAGACAGTTGGGGACAACGATCCGAGTGCTTCTCTCGGCTAGTAGGCTTGTCTTTTCTCCAAACAAGCCCCGCATCTGCTACCTCAAGCCCCTGTACCTCTAAGAAAATTTCATTCCACCAGCAAGCTGTGGATTCAACCAGCCAGGCAGCATACGCGTCGACATTGTCATAGTGGTGGTTGTCGTGTCCGCCGAAGTCATTCTTCATGGCCTTGGCAGCGTGTGTGTCACATGAACGTATAATCCCTTGTTGTAAGAGTGGTGGACGCCTTGTCGAAGATGTTGGGTCAGAGGGGCTTTATCATGTTAACCCTTTAGGAGCTTGCATGCTGAGCAAGAGGGCCACTTGTAGCCACGTCCTTCTTCACATCTCTGCGTATACATGCTCTGTTTCACTCCTATCTCATCCGTTCCCGAGTTTCGGCGTTCCCTGGCGTAACAAGGCTTTACAAACAGCAAGTCTCCTGCCATGCTTCCAAAAGGCCTGGCCACCGTAGACCAAGAAATTGTCGTGGGTCTTGTAAAAGCAGCTACCATCATCGTTGTCCACATCCTCCTGTGCCAAGAGCCCTGTATGTATCCAGCCTTTTGGACGCCTTGCAACAGCTTGACCCTGAACAAGAAGAATGGCACAACTGTTGTCCAAATTCCTTGTATTCTGGGCGACTATTTAAACAAGATGGCAGCCCATGTGAACATGTGATCCATGAGGTGCGTAGTCTTGGGCACGGCAACGGCCGTGCAAATGCAAGACGCTGTGACAGGTACGTTGTAGATCCTGTCGATAAGCCGATAAGCCAAGCTAGGACCTCCAATCAGCTTGCCGCAAGATGTGCTTCTGCTTCTGCATCAGCATCCCCCAGCTGCCAAAGAAGGTTGCTCAGGAGTCATGTCGATAAATGCATGTTTTTCCCCTTTCGGATAGCTGCTTCCTGCATGGCCGAACAAAGCCTTAGGGTGTGAAGTCCGGCCTCGATTTTTTGGCCGAGAGAAGCTTTGCAAAAGCGAGGTTGGGATTTGCGCTGCCCATCGTCATGGGAGCCGTTTTGGGACTTCTTGAGACACTCTTACAGGCCTTCAATCATTATCCTGCGGCGAGTGATACTGTAAGCCCAGGGTGCGATAAACGAAACCATGCTCACGGGACTCGGTAGCCTGCCTCACTGAAGCATGTCAGCAAGCTTCATTGCTCTTAAATCTCCCTCTTCCCCATGAGACCTGCGGCGAGTAATTGTCGATGAAGAAGTTATGGTGGATCTCGCGCCACTGCATGATCATAGACGGCTCCTCAGATTGCCGTGAGGAGTGTTGGTATCTTGAGAGCTACAGTGGACGTCTCAGGCTCTTTATCGGTTCCTTAGAGGCTGGCACAGGCTTCTCTTCGGCATTCAGAGGGATTGATTACAGGCCTCCTCGAAAGAATAATGACAACTTGGCCGTGGAACACCATCACAATGCAGCTGCTATAGCCACAAGAAGCACAAATCTTTGCCTTTCAACTCCAGCGACTTCCTGGGACTCCTCGAGATTCAAGCCGTCTGTTTTCGTATACTGAACTGTACCGCTGTTTGACCAAGTCGCGAGCCAAAAGCTGAAAGCCAAAGAAGCCCAGATTCACTGTTGCCACTGGCAACAAAACTCATAGTATATCAGCACTCACAGTTCTATCGCCCATGACTTCCCTGGGGTTTATTAAGTCCCTGCACTGATCAATCTTGGAACTTGGAAGCTATCTAGTCATCTCCAAAGAAGCAACCACATAATGAGTTCTACAGCCAAAGCACGCCGGTCCGCACAGTAGTGAGGAATGGCTGACGGTCCCAGGAGTTGAAAGGCCCGTGATCCCCGCTCTCACCTTTTTAGTCTTTGTTGGGTGGCCGAGCCAAGCAAAATTACATGCTTCTTATACGGAAATGATCTTACCCTACATTGTGAGGCACTGTAGAACCTCCATACACCTGGGCTAAAGGCGTCATGCGGTAGTGTAAATTTCATTACTTCGGGGAAGCCGGGGAAGGCACATTTTAGCAAGATGTTACAAGGCTCTCTAGCAACCACCAAGGGGTGCGCAAGGGCTTACGTAGAGGCCTTATTATTTGGCTATCGATGCCCATGCATGGGCCTCCTTAGGAGTCTTTCCTTAGGATGAGAGCCCCCTGGAAAAAATCCATAACAAGCTCGTACGACATCGGCTTGAACAGTCCGGAAGCCGTTTCAGGTGGACCCTGAGTTGCCTGCCACACACAGGAACAGGAGTGCTGCCTGAGACTCGATGACTTTTCCAGCCACTTTGATAGGTTTGTGCCATTGCAGTCCTGAAGCTTAAGCCCCTCAAGGTCTACATGATCCCCGATTGAATTGGCAGAACCATCTCCTTTCTGAAGGTCTTTCAAAAGCCGTCCGTCTATGCATGCCCGACATGATATGGTCCTGATATGGTCGTCCGCATAACGAACCCTATGATTCCAGACAAGGCCCAGGCGCTATGTCACCTGCATCTCCACTTCAAGTGCAACCTCGAAAAGTTCACCTTTTGCACGAACAACCTCGCCCTCGGCCCTCAACCATCTGGAGCTAGACAGCCGAGGGGCGGCAGGTGGAGAATACCTTGCTGAAGAAAGGTTTCTCCAAAAAAGAGAGGAGAACCTACACCCCGCATCATGCAAGTTAACCCAGGGGATCAGGTTCATCGCGTATTGATTCCCTGCATTTGCTTGAAACTGAGGGTCCAGGACTTAGGGCTTACTGCCTCGTGTTGCAGAGGCTTGGTTGGGACTTGACCTCATCTCTCCGAAGGTTCTGAAAGCTAGCAAGCAACAAACAACGATGCATCCCGCACATGACCTGTAGCACTTTATGAGGACTATGTGCTCTTCCGCACAATGTTGACCTGAAATCCTCCTGCCCAAGCACAATCCCAACAACTCTACACTAGCCTATTCCGTGACCTGTTGCAAGCAAGTGAATACCCCTTACATAAATCATTATGCGGAAGCCCGTAGCCCAACAAAGCAACCGAACATAGCACTAAGCTGACTATCACTGTTAGTAGCCTGTCACACCACAGCCTTCACAACTCAAAACTCTACAAAGCCTGCATGTGGTTTCTTAACATGACCCCACCACACATGCCTTGACAATCTAGCGGAAACACCAGTGAACAGGGGCATGAAATTTCCAGAAGCCAAGCAAATATACTATAATTCACGTCACTATAATATACTATAATATACTATGGGAGAACCACAAAGACCCAGGAGCGAGGTTGAACGCAATCTCATCTCCCCCTCCGAAACCTTAGCTGAATAGGTGCGGTGCGTTTCATCCTACTCGACCCTAAGCTGCTAACGTCATCCACGCCACTCTACCGATGTAGTTTTGTCTACATCAGCAACATCTCCTACACGGGCAGGGTGCTCAGTAGGGGAAGGGAGCTTGGCTTTTGCAAGGGAAGAGGGGGCAGCCAGTAACCCACGCATTTCTTGTCTCTTGGCCTCAAAATTTAAAGCTCTTTCTGAGGCACAGAGTTTCACCTGACAGCGTAAGGATGGGGATGTTGAGCGCCCAAATAGGAACAAGCTCCTCTGATAGACCCTGACATGTTAATTGTTTACTGGACCCTCGTTCCGGGATGTACGTCTGGCGTTACCGTAGGTTTCCTGTATACACACCGAGAACCTTTTTCCCTCTCACAGCTGTGAAGCAAAGAAGTAGTTGTCCACACGTGCTGCTCATGTGGCACAACCCAGAGATGCAAGTTCAGGCCAGACCTTGTAATTCTTGGTTTCATCCTTACTATGTTATGACTATATCATTATTACGATACTATTTCTATGTTATAACTATCTTGTACAAAATACGAATAGCAAATATAACTGCAGTAATAATAGATGCATGAGGAACTTCAAGGTGAGAAGCCGTCATTCATGTTGATGCCTGCTCTGGGCCCATTGAAGAAGACGTTGGAAACGACCCGGGACCTAAGCGCGACGCACGACTCAGGACCCTATCACAGACGTTCGAAATTGGCCTCGAAGATGGCCCTGAGCAGTGCTTCCCCAAAACTGGGAAAATCCCCATGTGAGCTATGGTCTAAACTCCTAGTATCCCCCTTTAATAACTCCTATAGTACTCCCATATACTGTATTAGTCTCCTATATCACCCCCATTGAGGAGTTTAGACTAAAGCTCATGTACTAAACCACCCGAAAAAGGCGCCTAGATGTAGCCGGTTTCAACACAAGCATCACCCCTGCCTAGGTTTTCCCATGTGCTGAAAGACCCCAAAATCGGAGTCTGACTTTCCCAGCACCCGAATCGCCTGCAGTCAAGGGATGTCTGGACAAACACTATCTAGCGGAGTCTTAGGTGAAGGCCTATAGCTCATCAGGTTGCCCTCCCTTCTAACACCTGCCCATCTTCACAAGCCGGATTCATGAGCGTCAGGGCGCGTTTTCCTCACCTTTCAGATCAGAAGAATGTACTATGAAATTGTCTCTGACAACCGGGGCTAAACGCATGCACCATAGCACCGACCGTGGCACGGGCAGCAATGATAACTAACAACAGCACTGCATGATCAAGAGCTTACAAAGCATAGCTGCCATAGCTGCAGGATCAGCCAGGGTTGCAAAATGACGACGACTCTCGGGCGTCGTTCCAAGGACCCAGGGGCCAGGCTCTTCCGTCTGACTGGGTAGGTTCATGAGGCCCCCGCATCTAAAAAACTATCCCACCTTCAAGCCAAGGTCTAGGTGCTCAAGAAAACAAAATTGCCATCTATGCTATATCCCTAAACCCTAAACCCTAAATAGTAGTTTCCATTTTCTTTTCCATTATCCCTATAGAACCCCTATAGAACCCCACGTAACTTGATGCCACAGCCCCCCGTTCCCTGACAAAGCGCTCGGTGTTCCAACAGACCTTTGCCTCCACAGATATGATTGAAAAGTACAGACAGCACCCTGTTTTCCCAGATCCAGGAGCCTGAAGTAGCACCCTGAACCCTAAACCCTATAGCGGATCCCTAATGTGGTTGGAACCTCCAAGCTGCAAAGCCAAAGCTGTCGCAGCTGTGTGAGAAAAGGATCTCTTGAGATCGAAAACAGCGCGGGCGCGACCAATGCAGGCTGGCACAACGTACTCAGTGATGACCCCTTACTATTTATGCGAGTGGCTGCCTATGACCTTCATTACAGTTCCTTGCAAGCTTAAGCATACCAGGACTTCACTACCAACACGACAAACTGAAATTGATACAGCTAACAAGAAACACGGACTTGCGGATACGCCAAGCCTGAGCCTACATAAGCGTAGAAACGTCACCTGATGTAACCCTCATGGGGCAATTCATGGACATGGCCACAAGTCCGTGTCACCCACCCATCTGAGCAGCTGTGCTACATTTGCGGGCTCCTCGGTTGAAGACAATTTGAATATACAATACCCCTGAGACCCATCAGTCACTGCATGGGTCCTTTGAAGCGCACTTCCTTGGACAAATGACCTTGAGGCCAAAGCACCAGAGGACATACCACACCCTACTAGGAGGCTTTCTCCTCTCCATTTGGCCAAAAAGCTCCTGATATATGGAGACACCTTAGCCAGGTTAAACCCCAACAAGGTACATCACACACATCTATGCCATTCCAGTAGGGGTGGTTGATACCCCCAGAAGATGCCCCCGGCGGATCCAGTCTGGCAGGCATGCATTTAGGGTTGCCTATCGGGCTCGGTAGGTATCATGCGCGGTTTTGGTTTCTTGTCCGGGCTCGTGGTCATGAGAATTTGGTGACTGCGTTCTCGTTTCCCAGACTTGGGAGTTTGGATGACTTCCTTGACTGTGGTGAGCCGCGTAGACTCTTTTCAATCAAGCACAGTCCTACTACAGTCCAACGCCCATCCTCTCACACCGCCTTAGAACCAGACAACAACGCGCATGACGTACTGTATCTAATTACGGATCGGGGAATTTTCAGTGGGGTTGGCCAATTCCAAGACAAAAGTTCCAAACATTCCAGCTAAGAAGTCCACAGGTCCAACGTACCGAAAAGCTTGATCGGCTCGAAAACCTTGCAATATTCACAACTCAAAATTCATCTTGAAGACTTCAGGTTACTTGCCGAAGTTTCAACTTTGAATCTGACTTTGAATCTGACGCTTAGAAGAGCCGACCCTCAGCTTGCCAAGAGTTTGCGAAGTGATGCGGAAGAGAACACAAACTAAAGCCTTAGTGCTATGCCACATTTTCAAGGGGCTTGCAGTGTTCCGTCGGGCTCCCTATACGATATCGTTCAGGGGATCTATATGTCATGCTGAGAAATTTCCGACTGCCTGCAGCCGTGGCGGGCTCCCTTCACAGTACATGTGATGATAAAACAATGACGGTAACAAACACTACTGGCAGGAACCCTGGTTTACGTTAACCAGCATAAGCAGTAAACCCCCAAACCTGAAACGCTAAGCCCCAAATCTGACGTTCCGCTGCTTGCTCTGATATCTGGGTCCACCAGCGAGGTCTCGAATTGCACAGGAACACAGGTTCAGCATTCTGTGTGGGGTTCTGGGCCTGTCTACAGACACATTCTCACTTGTAACATCATGTAACTTCAACGGTGATTACAAGCAGGTACGGAGTACTTGTCAGGAGAGATCTGGGGATTCTCCCAAGGCCTTTTGCTGGATATGGGTAATCTGAGCATTCTCTGGGGTCAGTGATCCTTTTATGCCCGGCATGCGTGGTCTCTTCTGCCATCAGCAGGACAACATTGCAAACAATCCACCAGTAAGAGCACAAAACTCATCATCAGGTGAAGGAGTACACGCGTGAGTTAAAGGATTGCAATCGACGGGAAAGCAACACAAATGGTATTATCACAGTCTGACAGCAACGACATCAGCAGCTGTGGTGAGGCAGCCGTGGGTGGGAGAAATTTGAGGGGGCGTACGTGGCAGGGTAAAATGCAGTATGTAGTAGCTGTGCTCTGCTCGCAGAGCCAGATTCACATAGCAGTTGAAATCAAAGTCGCTGCGACAGTAACTTCCATGGCGCTGACCCCCTGAACCCAGACCTGCAGCCTTGTCTAGCTCCTCTTGCTGCTGCAACTGACAGAATGACTTACTCATTACTCACTGGTCTTCTCTGAGCCATAGGAGCCACGAAGCTCAGCAGCAGTATGCCTACAGGCCGGAGCAAAGACCTTCCGGGAGCGGTAGACTATCTGGCCTACTTCAACCTTGCTTACCCAAAGCAAGTTGCTTAGCTTGAGTACAGGGCCTTCGCTGCTGGTTTGTACATGTTGTCATGGTTGGAAAAATGAACTTGACATTTTGTAGGTCGTAGTTCCATTCTTACATGTACTGGCTCGTTAGTTTGCAAGCTCAGAAAAGCCCAGAGAACTCAGGGCCCAAGCCCACAAACAATTGAAATTGTGGAGCTGGAGCAGCATCTGATCTGCCCACCCCCGCTCCTTGATCTCTCTGCATGCGCTCACATCCCAGGACCTGACAGGGACGCTCCCAGCACGAGCTCGGGAGTCTTTACTACAGCAAATAGTGGACCTGCAACACCGATCTTGCTTCTCTCCCTGATTCCAACCATACGTGCCTCCTGGTTGTTACATGGCTATTTTTTCTGGCTATTTATTTAATTATGCCAGCATGTCAGCAGCAACGTAAACTCTACCCTCGTGTTTCCATCACTTCAAACCCAGATTTAGTGGCTCTTCACACTGCAAGCTCCTACGAACTCACTAACACATGAGACGTTCCCAGTGTTTTGGCCCTCGGGGCTTACCGCGTATTGCACGGCCCCACTTCCTTGGAGGGGTAAAAAAAGGGCACCGTAGATGTGGAAACCAGAAGCGTTTAGAAAGATCGTGGCATCTGCAGAGAATACATGAACAAAGGCCATGAACTACAGCCATGAATGCCCTCCATCTAAATTAGATGATCCATACACACATACATGTTTAGTGTGTCACCTGCATTCTACGCTTGTACGTGCCAAGGTTTATACTCCTCAATAACACCCCTGAAGTAGTCCCCCTATATAACCCCAATATATACTAGTAGTTTCCATGTTTTCCATTGTCCCTATATAACCCATATATAAATCTCTATATAACCCTAGTCCCCAGGAGCCCCAGAATGGATGCTGGAGACAAAGCTCCTTGGAGCTGCTACGGTAAGTCTGGACGACTCGGGCGAGGCGAGGCGCAGTGTTGGCTGCCAACTTTCAGGACTTCTCAGCTTTTCGACCTCCCCAAGTAGATGGACATACAGGAAACATTGCGTAGCTCTCATAGATTTAGCTTCTATCCACCCAGGGAGGAATGTGACGAGAGACTGCCGGGCCAAGCAGGCAGGGGCCCACCCACTGTACACCTATAGTCCCCCTTAAGTAGATAGAATATGGGGTATATGGGGATCTTCTTATAATGTACCCAAAACCATATTCTATCTACCTAAAGGGGACTATACTTTCATGGATCCTGCGCCATGGGAAGCCTTCAACCTCGTAGGGCAAAGTCAGCAGGGAATAAGCCCGGGGTCCATGAAAGCATGAGGTGATGCGGTACCTCATAGGTTGGAGACTTGAGGCCTCAGGCCTTTCATCACCTTTCACCGGAAAGGGCTGAGGAGTGGGGAACAATGCCAACCGTGGATAGATCCCAGATCGGGTATGGCAGACCAAGCAATTCAAGGACCCTATGGAGACACCACTACTCCCGGCCATCAGCCCCACTCCTCTCATTGCCCTGAAGGTCCCAGTGGCTCTTTAAAAAAGCCAACGCTCTCGCCTCGCTTTCAAGGCATGCACCATCAACAGCTCTGCCCTTTTCATGGAGTCCTGGAGTACGGTCTCCGGAAAGGCTCAACGCCTCATCATTCTTCATCCCCATCAGATTGTACCCTGCCCCGCTCAGGAACATCAGACATGCACGCGATCCTCTGCCAGGATATGTTAAGATTTCCAGACACTTCTAGACGAGATCAGATCATTTTTCAGAGGAAGGCTGAGGAGGAGGGTCTTCCACATGAGCCCAAGACACAAGTTACAGCCACCCAGGAAGCGACGCTTCTTGATAGCCCGGCAAAGGGTTACATATCATCACTAGGGAAATTTCCTTATTTTTGTCGGGGGCTCACGTGTTCTTGGGGCCACACACCCTTGACCACAAAGCCAACTCGCATCTCTGAACCTCACAACCCATCACTGTCCAGAACTGCCACAGTACACCCCGAAGAAAGAACATGCTTTGTTCAGAACCTAAACCTTTACATCCTCAGACTGCAAAGCCTGAAAGCCTGAAACGGCTAGGCAGGCTGGCCCTGCCGCTGCTGTCGCCGCCGCTTGCGCACCTGGTGCTTCTCCTCGGGGCTGAATCTTATGCATAGTTCTCCACCTTTCTCCTATATTCTGTACCCTACATAACCCATTAAAGTAGTTTCCATTTTCTTTTGCATTATCCCCAGTTAACCCCAAATGGATGTCGAGGGGTTGTAGTAGGGTTCTATTAGGGGTTAGGGGGTTATGTAGGGGATTCCATAGGGGTTATATGGGGGTTAGATAGGGGACTATATATGGGTTATATCGGGATAATGGAAAAAAACAGCGGAAATTACTATAATGGGGTTATATACCGCAATGTTGAATATTTAATATTACATCTAACTTTAGTGGGTTTCAACATTACGGGAAGGTGACAAATAGAACCTCCGAGGAGGGTAACTCTGGAAGCTACACACGAATAGCACAGGCCATATCCGCAACGCAAACTACAGTGCTGAAGGCAGTCTGGAAGCATGAACGCTTTCTCAAAGTTCGTTTTGGAGGCCGACCCATTTATCTTTGAGGTTGTGCTGTGTGTGTGTTCAGGAACTGAGGCACCACAAGAAGCAACAAAGGACAAAGAGCGGAGGCCGATCATGGAGGGCAGAAGCAGAGACAAAAAGCGGAAAACTCCTCCGGCATCTCTTCAACCTAAAGGCCTACCTCTGCTCAAATCCAACATTGACGTGGAAACCAAAGGACCCTAGTATGAGACCGCAGCCTGCCTGGGGATTTTAGAGAACCATGGGGAAACCTGCTGAGTCCTTATGTTTTGGATCTTAGACCTGAACTGAATTCGTAAATTCTAGCAGAAGACACCAGGTTGACAAATGTCTCAGCCGTTTACAACATCTCCATGCTGCTTACCTGCAACAATACAAGCCCGTGCGTGTAAGAAATCCCGGCTCTTTGCTCTAAGCCCTCTCGAAGACACCTTCCTCTATCAGAAGAGATGGCAGAGATTGGAGGCTAGGGACAAAGCTCTTTGGGATACATTAGCCGCTCATGGCCTACCAGAAATCACTTTGGTAGGTGTTCACTCCCAACGTGCAAGCTTCTGTGCTCAAAAATGTCTGCACGTGTGCTTCACATCTCCGGCCTTCTTAATTTCCACCATCACGTCTTCGTAACTGCAGAAGTGGCAGAAACGGCATGCATCACCATGCCTTGAAAGTTCAGTTCAACGCACCACGGGCAAAATCAAAACAGGGTTGTTGATTGCCAACATGCCCTCGTCTCTCTCGAAGAACACAAAAAGCTGCACACCCCCAAAACGATTCTAATCCAGCAAGGATTACTGGCAGGCGTTCACGTGTGTTGTGAAGAACCTGCACGGCTTGCAGAGTCCTGCTGTGTGCATTTGCCACATCGTTTCGGGGGAAACGCCCCCTACTGCTTCAGCACCACAATTAGTGCCAGCAGGTCTGGAATTTTCGCCGTCCTTCGCGGTGTAGAGTTGAGGCTGCGAATTTTGCTCCTTGGCAAAGACACCCATGTCAGGATCTCCAGCGGATGCAGCTTGCTTCCCCTGATCCTGATTCAGGATACCGGCTGGCAAAAGCCAAGAAGGCTCTGAGCTGCACTTCCGCATGCACTGGCTGCGGACGGCTTCTTTGGATTCATCTGGGAAATCCAGAAAGGTGTTGAGAACCCTGGCCGCTGACAGGTAGCGACATGCCAACGGAAAGGACCTCATGGCTCCCGGCACGGAGTCAGCGAACGCCATGCTTGAAGCCTACATGTCTGCAGCGGCAGCAGCTAGATAAAAGACTCTCGCTAGGAAGCTCCATTCAGCTTTCTGGGGAGGAACGCTGTAAATCGGAGAAACGTCCTAATTTGATGGCTAGAAATACCTAGGTGGCCTCCACGATGCGCAAGTATCCTTATCGCGACAGCATGGAATTCACTTACCCTCAAGGATGCCCATCTCACCTCATGCCATTTGGAAAGCAACCAACCTCCTGGGAATATGTATGCTTCCTCAGTGGCAACTCCCACAGCTTCTTTCCCAAGATTATGCACTTGTTAAACTGTTAAAGCGCTCATTGGTCGGAAACTCTTATACTCCATACGAAGGCGCTCTGCTCATCATTGCTCATAGCAAATGTGGTTCACAGCCGCGTCACAGCCACTGGTAAGTTGACCTTTGAAAGCGAATCCATACTTTGCAAAGAGTTGAACCCTGGACCCACCCAGTAACAGCAGAACATGCTGGGGATCGGGCTGAGCAGTTTTGGCCTGCACGAAGAAGCTGGACTGCTTCCTGTAGCGGTCGGAATATGAGGCCCCCAAGCCGCCATGCCCGCCCTGCCTTTTCAGTAACACAGCTTTCAAGTGGCTTCAGTTGGAGCGTTATATGGATAGTTCCCAAAATTAGGTGTACCTTTTTGGGAGTCCCTATAATAAGGACGATAGTATATTTGGGGTCTATATTGGGGTCCCCTATTTTGGGAAATTGCCATATGTGGGGATCTCTCCCCGCCTGACATATGAGCCAGTCTAAACTCCTAGTATCCCCCTTAATAAGCCCTATAGTAGTCCTGCAAATAATCCCCCATATGGCTACTGATCAAAGCCAGTGCACGTTCCTATGCTGTCTGATCCGGAGGGTCTGGATCGCATACTCGATCCGGAGGGTGTGGAACGATGACTGACGCTTGCTGGTTCCCACAATGATACAGGGTGAGTATGTGCTTAAATACTTTGTTTGGTCTGGAACGGGTATGGA